GGCACGTATCAGAGAAAAATGGACTCAACGATTCCTCGAAAGCAAGAAAGCGATTACTACTGGTTGGACATTCTAATATATCAGAAAGGTGTTGGTAGGACAACCAAGAGGATCCCCATGCTGCCATTGCATGAGTCGTTGCAACACGAGTGTGAAACTACTCGGTCCCTGGACCCTGGGCCCCTGACAAATGATGCGGATTTTCAGGAGTGGCAGCAAATATACAGGTGGCACCCTGGCGTTCGCGCGTGCAGGCCAGATGTTATGTTTTTGTTATCGCTGTACGCCGATGGTATTCGATTCACTAGGAGCGAGCGAACTGGAAAAGCCGACTCGTTGCTGGGTTTCTTTATGCATTTAGTACCGCAGTCGCGGAGACATTCGGTCGCATTCTTAAGGAAATCTGAATTCTGCAGGTGCGGGTGCCGAGGGTGGTGTAGCCATTACCCTGTCATGCTCGTGATAGCATGGTCGATGCGGGCGTTGATTGAAGGCCGATGCCCCTCGGCCATGCACGACGGCTCACCGTTTGTCACGGGTGATCACAGGGGTGATTTGGCGGGCATGCCTCTCAGGAAAGGCGTTGTGGTTTGGATGAAAGGCGACTTAGCGGAGCAGGCTGTCACGTTCGGTGTGCGGGGTTTGGGCAGCACGTTTTCCCAGTGTTTTATGTGCAATTCGCTGCTCGAGCATTTACATGACTATGACCCTGTTGAGTTGGACAGTGACCACTGGGGCCAGAAGTCAGATTTGGATGATTGCGAAGTTTCCTGTCAGCGGCTTGAACACGTCGTTGTGCTTCACACCGAAGCCGATCGACTTAAGGCGACACCGACGCGCAAGCGCGGCCACGCAAGGTGGCCCCCGAGAGCGCGCGGTCGCGCCACGGAGCGCGTGTGGCGGAGAGGGTTGCGACGGGGTGGCGGGTGGCAGCGTTCTCGGGGGTTGCCCGCCGTGGTCGCGCAGGCGCGTCGGTTTCCGACAAGGTTTTTACTGAGGGTAGGCTTTACTGGGATCGGCGGAGATCTGGAGTCCGTGGGAGGGCGCTCCTAAACGATGTGCCGTCACTAGGTCTCAAAGCTGGTGGTCGATTGACGCCGTCCGAGCAATTGTGCGATATCGGCGATTTCTCCGCTGCCTCGTTGCCCCTGGTCGTGAGGTTTTGGCGCGCGACCTATCGCGGTCAGGCTTGCATGGGCCCACTGCTGAATCGCAACCCAGTGTTTTCGCCCGCCCTGTATGCGTCACCATCCCTCACGTTCGCGTTAGACGTGCTCCACATTCTGTACCTGGGAGTTCATGGCCGTTGTATATCCGCAGTGTTCTGGGCAATTATGGATGTGAATGTTTTCGGGATCCCAGGGCCTCATCAAGACGTCGTTGTCCCAGCCTCTCTGGAGAGGCTCTCGGGCATGCTGAACGATTGGTATGACGACACGGATGTGCTGCAAAACTACAGAGTGCATGCGCTATCAGTGAGTATGATCGGCACGAGGGACTTCCCAGGGCTAAAAACAATGGGGTCCGAAACAAACGCGATCCTCCCATGGGCTTTCCATTTGTGCGAGACGTTTTCTGCCAGCATGGGGAAAGGGTTTGCGCTCGCTGAGGCGTGCAGAAATTTGCTGGCGTTCATGCAACTCCTGAAGGCATCACCCACCATCGTCGATAGGGAGACGGGGCCCATGCTGCTGGACCTGTGCAAGCAGCACAACCATTACATGGCAGAAGCAGACGTCCCCCACTTGTTCAAAAACAATTTTTTTGTACACCTCGTGCGCCGTTCCTTGAGGCACGGCAACCCGCTTCGGTGCGCCACGTTTCTGGGTGAATCGTTGAATCTGCCAGCGGCAGTGGCTGCCTCGAACGTGCATCGGTCAAATTGGGAGAAACGGCTCTTTGAACGCGTGTCGTTGCAGGGGAATATGGCGGTTGGTCAGCATCGTTTTTTTCTACGGCGGCGGGGCGTAGCCGGCCCCTCGCCATCGCGCGGGGCATGCTCGGCGCCGATGTGGCATAGGCGGTGCGATTGGTTCTCGTGGAGACATGGGGAGGGAGGGCGGGAAACACGACCACGATTCACAAACCATCCCCCCCCTCTCCCTCCGTTCGGGGTGATTCGAAGTGCGCTTGCGCGCCGACACCGCCAGACCCCGACGAACGCGGGCGCGCGTGAGGAAGTCACAAGCGAGAGCGTGATTTCTCGTCGGAGTCCCGATCACCATAGGGAGGCGACGGCTTGCGGCGTCTAACGCGTGGTGGGCCGCCCCGCTGCGTTACAGCACAGCGGTTGGTCCTCGGACCGACGCGCTGTCCGCGTGGTGCTCCTCCAGTCCCCCGTGCACTTTGCATTGCGTGGTCGCGCAGCCTCAAGCAAGAGCGCCATTTTGAAACGGAGCCGCCCCCCACACATGTAACCGTTGCAAACGCTTAAGAAGAATGCGCGCGGCACCAAAGCGAGAGCCCCATGTTCAAAACCAACCGCCCTCTCCCGATGAGTTTTCGATGAGTTTCCGATGAGTTTTGATGAGTTTCGGATCGGTGGCGCAAATAATCGCGCTGCATGGGCACAGCGACGTCGATGTGTTTCGAGGCGGGCGCTCGGGCACTCCAGCCCAGGCGGGCTCGTGGACATGGCTTGCCCTGCCATTCGTCGAGCTTCCCAGGTGGCCTGGGCCAGCGTTGCCCGTGGTGACGTTCTGGCTCAAGCATGCGTGCATCGGCAGGCAGAGCGTTGGCCGAGTGCTGGCGCCGCGTCTGGGCCGCCCTTACCCGTTGGCCATGAAGCGGCCAGCCGCTGCCATGAAGAGGCCTGGCGCCGCGTCCACCGCGGTTGGCGTCCCATGTTCGTTCGAGGCGATGGCGGTGCAAGCTGGTCTCTCCGACAGCGCATCGCAGGGAGAGATCATCAGGGTGGCTGAGGCGCTGACACGGGAGTTCTGGTCGTGCCCTCGCTATATGGACGCAGCGGAGATGTTCAGCGGAAGCGGCAGGCTCGCGCGCTGGATGAGACGGGCTGGCCCCCAGTGCCCAGAGTTCGACAAGTACGGAAGGGGCGAGTCGGAGGACGTCTGCACCCTCGCTGGCATGGCCTTTGCGCGTCGGATAGTGCTGAGCATCAAGCCGAAGGGGGCGCTCGTGATTGCCCCTCCGCCCCGTGAGTGGGCAGGCGACATGCTGCGCATCAACGGGAGGGGCGACCTCGTCAATGGCAAGATATCGGCCGCAGGCATGGAGGCGAACGACCTGGCGCTCGCAGTCGCGCACTTCATCGCCATGTGCGTCGTGAGGGATGTGTTCTTCATGGTCGTGATGCCGTTCGACTGCCAGTCGTTCTTCGAGTACCCAACGGTCAACAGCGCCCTGCGTCTGGGCCGCGCCGCCATCACCACGACCTACCAGGGCAATTGGCAGAGGATCTCTACGAACAAGAGGACGCTGGTGAGCTCGAACATCGCCGAGGACAGGATGGCCAGGCTTCTGCGCGAGTGCCCCCTTCCAGACTCGACCCACATCGACGAGGTCAGTTCGTGCGGGAGGGGCGTCGTCAAGTGGAGCGACGGCACCTACGAGCTCACCGAGTGGACGTTCTTCTACGACGGCTTCGCGAAGGAGCTCGTGGCGGTGGTCGCGGCAGCCGCCGAGTTGCCGCATCCAGTATTCGAGGCAGTGTTGGTCAATGACTCGGAGTCGGACTAGTGCTTGCGCCGCCCGAGAGCGCACGCTGTGCGATCCGTCGCCGACGCGGCCGCGTGCTTCAGACAGCGTGCCATCTGTGCACGACCGAGTGCGTCTCACCGAACGCAAGCTCTCCTCCAACTCGAGATTCAATACGCGCTTGCGCGCTGACTCCGTCGACGGCCAATGGTCCGACACGTTGGAGCGGCGACGGGGCGATCGACAGCGTTCGAAACTCCTACCAGAGCGACGGAAATCGGCGCGGCACGGTCGAGATGGGAGAGTAGCATTCATATTGAATAATTGTAGGAGAAGGAGGAGGATGATAACAGGAGGAGGTGGAGGAGGAATGCGAGGGGGAGGGGGATGGGGGAAGGGGGAGGGGGACGGGGGAGGGGCGGGAGCGTTCGGGAGGGTGAGCGGGGGAGAGGGTGAGAAGAGACGCACGCCCCCCCCGCTCGGCCAGCTTGGGGCGGGCCGTGGATCCAGCTCTCGGTCCTCCTCATCTCCCCCCCGCCCTCCCCTCCTCTTCCTCCTCGACCTCGCCACTTTCCTCTTCCTCGCCTCATCCTCCTCATCTCCCTCATCCTCGTCCGCCTCCTCCTCCTCCTCCTCCTCCTCCTCCCCCCCCTCCTCCTGCTCCTCCTCCTCTTCGCCCTCCATATCGTTCCCGTTGTCGGCCCCGCCATCTGTCTCGCCCCATCGCTGTTTCAAGCCCAGGCCCAATGAAGCGGGAACGCTCGGAGACCCCCCCCCGACGCAGCCCCGGGCCGGAGAGTCCGCAGCCCCAGCCAGGGGCTAAGATTAGCTTTAGATGGGCGTGTGACGCGTGGCACCTGCTCTGGGTCGATCGCTTCGAGGTGACTCGCTCGCGGCCGCTGACCGAACAGGAAACTGATGACTAATAACGACGACCACGATCACGATCACGACGGCGACGACGACGACGTGACCCCATAGGAGACAACAACACGATATCGCCCCCGCCCTGCTCTACTGCGCCGCCCGTCGTACCCGCTGCCAAGGACCACAGTGCACGGTGGCACGGCTCATTTTGACATCATCGACGGGGTTCCAAGCTTGCTCAGTCCCGAGGAGAGGGCCAGGTGGACTGCTATGCAAATGCACGGCTATGCCGAACGTGAGCACATGGCCGAACATATCGAATGGCACCGTACCCGAGAAGGCATAGACGGTTTGGTTCGGGACGCAATCGATGATTTCCACGCTGAGCTGATTAGGAAGTGGGGGCCCGAATTAGAGTCAGAATTACTTGGCTTCGTTCGAGCTCTCGAACATGAGATGCCAGATTTCTCACCGAATCAGGGGCTGGGTGGAGGCGACGCCGCCTCGAGCCATAGCGCCCCGCCCTAGGAGCAAACGGCGCGTGGAACGGGTCGCGGGTGGAGGAAGACGCGTTTGGAATGCTGGGCAGGGGAGCTCCCGTTGCCACCGCATTCGACCCCCGCACAAGTCCAAACACATCTCCCTCCACCTGCGACCCTTTCCTTGCGCCGCCCCCGCGTGCTCGGGTGCGGCCACCGTCTCGAAAGCTGGCGCGGGGCTGAAAACAACTCTGATGCGCCCCTGGGCCCATGGACTCGGCGACGAGAATCAGATTCACGCGCGCTCGGGGCCGCCCAGGTCCAGACCTACTCACACTCGGGCTCACTCACACTCAGTTCAGACCGCTCGAAAGTATATCCACTCACATTGGCACTCGCCCATGTTCAAGCCCGCTCACACTCAGGCACGAGCATCGGGAACTCATCGAAACTCATCGGAAACTCATCGGAAACTCATCGGACGTCAACCGAAACCTCCACCATCGTCGCAATAGGGGCGTCGGCGGACACGCGTAGCGCAACCCATTTGAATCGGGACGAAAGTTTTCCCAGTGGCCGTGAAGCCGAACACGCTTATAAGTATCGGACGGGCCGAGGCGCCTCGGGCAAGCCGAGGCGAAAACGAGCGCTGCCAGGCGCCCACGAATACCGTATCGCTGGTGTAGGCGCTGGCGTCGGCGCTGGCGTTCGCGCTGAAGGTGCTGGTGTAGGCGCTGATGTAGGCGCTGGCGTATGAGCTGGCGTAGGCGCTGGAGGCGCTGTAGGCGCTGGCGTTCACGCCGTCTGCGGCCACTTAGCGGTACTGCTCGCCTGCGTCCTGCCACGACGCCGCGCTGTCCAGGGGCTGCGTATTGGCCTCAGCGTCCTGGTCCTGCTGGCTGCTGCGCTGGTCCTTCTGAGCCTGCTTCGCCTGGAGCCCCGCCGCGTAGCCGATCTTGTAGATGTCGTCGACGTTCAAGCCATCGATCTCGCCCAACGTCATATTCGTCTTGAAGGCCTTCGACGCCACCCAGTCCTTGATGCTGGCGTCGCTCGCTGGCGTCGAAATTTCGATACTGCTCTGCTGCTGGCACCGCCCTTGGTTGTAGCCCTCGTCCTCCGTCGCTGGCTTGCCCACTGTGGGTGGCTCCGTCGCCTGCTGGTCCGCCGTCGCCTGCTGGCCATCAGTGGGCCCGCCCGTGCTGCTCTGCTCGTTCTGTTCAAAATTGCAAGAAAGTGGATACGTGACGTTCATCACGAGCGCCGACCTGTCGTTGATGATCCAGTCGTCGCTGAGCGGGTAGTTGTGGCACAGCTCGGGAACATGTGGCATAGCATCCCCTGGGCGGGGCATCTTCACCAACCAGAAGTCGATATCGCCGCCCTCGTCAATGAAGCTGAGCGAGCGCTTAGCCTCCTTCTTGGTCTCCTCGACCGTCGGGAACTTGCCGGCGCGCGAGCCCGTCGTCATCGTTCTCACGTAGAGCGGGAACCAGCTGCCCTGATTGCCCCACTCGTGTGTGAAGATTGGCACCTTCATCATTTTCTGGTCCTCCTGCAGAATCCAAACCGCCATTGCGCTGGTGCTGCGCGCGGTGCTGCTGGTTGCGCTGGTGCTGCGCTGGTGGTTGCGCTGGTGCTGCGCGAGGTGCCGCTGGTTCTCGTCGCGCGCGAACCTGCTGCTGGTCGCGCGAAAGGCTTGGGCCAGAACGGATGCGGGAGGACGCTGGACGGGGGCTCCACTGGGCTCGGCACTAGCCTACACCGCATTGCATAGCATAGCATCGCGACGACTACGCACCGCCCCGAAACTCATCACAACTCATCGGAAACTCATCGGAAACTCATCGCAGAATGCGCTCGCACTCGGACTCGCTCACACTCTGACCCGCTCACATCCAGGCGCGCACTCGACGCCCTCAGGCCCGTTCAAACCCGCCAACGTCAGCACGCAGACTCATTCACGTTCAGATCCACTCTAAACTCAGAACTGCGACCTACCCGGTGAATACTACTCCCCTCCCCCCCCACCCTATTTAATGAATTTAAAGTTTATTTCCGAACTGTTTAGAGTGCTCTGCGCGCGCGAGATTAATATTTCGCGCGCGCGCAGCGGGCTCTAGCACCTTCACGACCTAGAATGGGAACCAGTGCGCGACGGCAGCGCCGATGAATGCCGATCACGCGCCACGCTATGCTATGCGACCTCACTATTTTAATGTTGCGCGGTGCCCGCAAGCGTGGGAGCACCCGCGGACTGCACTTCTCTGCAAAATTAAAGCCGTCGGGTTTCTGGCTGACGGATGGCATCCCAGATTGCAACACTCACTGAACTGAACGTTTGGAAAAATGATAGCTTTCAAAATGTAGCTCCCGTCTTAGCGCCGCGGACATTCCTACCGCCTTAGCGCCGCGGACATTCGTAGTTACATGCATGGACATGATCAAGGTATATCTGTTAATCCAAGATATACATGTTAATCCAAGATATATCTGTTAATCCAATATGTATATATATATATATGTTAATACAAGATACATGTTATAATATCTGCTATTTTTTGCATGTGTCATCATATCTGTTTTTTTGCAGTTGCAACATATATCTTTAATATACGTTGGCGTTGTGTCCATCATTAACAACATGAACATATCTGCATTTGTTTTGCAGTTGCCGCCATATCTGTATTTTTTGCAGTTGTAAGGCGCACCTTTAATTCTTATAGGTTTAGAACCTCAGGGAAGCCGCCGCCCGCGGCCCCTGCTGAGCGACGTCCGCCGCCAGACCTCGCCAAGGGCGGGTCAGCGGCGCCCCGGGCGCGCCGGCCTGGCGCGCCCGGCGCCGGGCGCCGTTGAACAGAAGGCCGGTCGCCTCGAAGCCCCGCGCGGGGTCGCCCCTCTCGCGCACCGCGAAGCCGGCGATCGCGAGCTCTTCGACCGCTCGACGACGCAGCTCACGCCGAGCCGAGAACGTCCGCGTCGGCGCGCGCGGCGACGCCCTGGCTGAGCGGCGGCGGCGGGCGGCGGTCTCCCAACAGCGCGGCGGGCGCCTCCAGCGACTCCCAGGCGCGGCTGCGCGCCCGCGAGAGGGCGTCGCGGTGGAAATGCAGCGCCCAGCTCCACCCCGCCAGCAGCCCGCCGGCGAGACCGCCGCGTCGCGGCCCGCCTCGGGGCCCCGGGGCGACTCGACGCCGACGTCGCCGGCGAGACCGTCGGCGCGAGGAACTGGCGGGGGCCGCCCTACAGGCCCCCCGCAGCGACGACGAGTCCGCAGCAGCGTATTCCGCGAAGGCCTGGTCCAGCACCGGCGACGTCACCTTGCTGTTAGCGGCCGCGCGCCAGTGCGAGGCGCGCCTGTGGAGGGCGTTGGCTGGGCGACAATCGAGCGCCATCCGCGCCGTGCCCATCGTCTTCCGCACGAAGCAGATCCCCACCCTCGAGCAGACCTTCCTCCTGTGCGCGACGAGCCCCGCCGCCTACAGCTTCGCCAGCAGCGCCAAGCTGGCCGCGGCTGCGAAGTAGCCGTTGAGCCCAATGAGGCTGGGTCGGCGAATCAGGGGTCTCGTCGGTGAGCAGGGTGATCCACTCTGGGCGTGGCAGGCACGCGCGGGTCTGGGCGTGGACCAAGGCGGCGGTGTCCTGCGGCGCGAGCCCGCCACGAGTGACCGAGAGCTTCGTGCCGTCGTGCGGGGCGATGCCGAGCGAGACGTCGGGGTCGCACAGGTCCGCGGGAATCTCGTTCGCCCCGCTGGGGCGCGGCTCAATCTCGCCGGGCCTGGCCCGAGCGACAACGGCCGCGGTCCCCGGGCGAAGCCGAATGGCCTGCTGGCGCTGAGTGAGCGGGCCGCCTGGCGGGCGGTGGCCAGGCCTCCGTGGCGGCGGCAGGCCCTTGGCCCGGGCGCTGGCCAGAGCGTTGAGCGAGGCTGCAGCCTAGATGGCCACGCCCATCCCGGACTGGCGCGCCGAGGTCGCCGGCGACGGCGACCGACCGCTGGCCCCGGGCGCCGAACGGCAGCGCCGCGGGAAAAGCGCCCCGAGGGCGAGGAGGCGCCATGCAACGCCGCGGCGAACCCAGTTGGCCGGGCCCGCGCGAGCGGCTGGCACGCGGGCGCAGGCGCCACCTCCGCCCGCCGTCGCGCCCTGCCCCCGCCGGACAGGCCCTTCTTGCCGATCTCCTTGGCGAAGAGCCTCGCTCCTCCACGATGAACTTCTTGAACGCCCCCGTCGTGAGTGGAGCTCCTGCATCTGGGCAGCTGGCCAGCACCACCTCGAGCCATCTGAAATCGGGCGCTGCGGGGGCGCGGAGGACCCCGCGCCCCGCGCGCAGCGCGCGTCTGGCGAGCGCCTCCGCGCCCGCGTGCTGGAAGGCGCCCACTTGGTCGAAGCGCGCCAGGCGATGCAAGATCGAGACCAGCGACGCATGGCGGCGGGGAACCGTGTTCTCCCGCGCGACCCCCGACGCGCGGACCCAGTGCTCGCGGCGCGTCAGTCCCCCCCGCCGGCGCGGGCGTCGGTCAGCAGCTTCGCCGCAGCCGAAGGACCTCGGAACGGCTAGTCGTCGCCAGTGGCAGGCGAGCCCGCACATCCAGGCGTGCCGCGGCAGCAGGGCGGCGCTCCTTCATCTCGGCCATGGCGTCGCGGAAATTGAGCGAACGGTGGCCGCGAGCGTCCCGCTCGATCGCCATCGCCCTCGGGTCGCGGCCGGCCCCCACGCGTTTCTCCTCGATCCAATCGCTCACATCGCCGACATGTGCCCGCTCGACCGAGGTCCCCCTGTCGCCGTCGATGGATGCAGCCGAGCCTTCCTGTCGGTGAGACGTGGGACTCGGGCACGGGGGACTCGGTTTGGCCTGGCGGGGCCGTCATAAAAATGTGAACGCCCAACCTGAAATTTGTCAACAGCTCTCGCTGCAAACATCTCACGGAAACTGGACCGCTAAAATCCATGACGCGCTCGTCTCAAAACGTCGACAGACCGGAGTTCCAGCTTACTCAAATCTCCCGTTTCCCCAACCCTGCACGAACTTCATGGGGTTCAAGGTTATGGCCACCGCGACCGCCTGCCCGAACATGTCCGAGCCAGGGTCCGCCCCGATCCATTGCGCCTGCGGACCGCCTGCCGCTGGGACCACACCGCCGAAAAGTGCTGCGAGAGCGGTGGCGTGGCGATGCAGCTCCGTCAGCTCGTCCTTTTTGAGAGAGTCGAAGAAGAACACGTTGTTGCGCAAACACCCGGGCACCGGGCACGCCCTGGCGAAAGGGACCACCCGGTGCGCGGCAAGGTCGATGACCTGGACTGCGTGGGTCGGCGTCGCGCACGCCCACTTCGCGCCCTACACTGGGATCGTCGTCGTCGAGCGCCACCTGCCGCGCCGCCATCACGCACGGCGGTGGCGCGGAAGAGCCAGAAGGCCACCAAGAGCAGGCGCCGAAAGGGCCAGGGCGAACCATTCACCCTGGCTTGGCTCGATGAACCAAAGCAGCTTGAGCCAAAATGACGTCGTTGGCGGCTACGATCGTGGAGCGAAGCTGTGGCGCACATCCAATTGTCGTCACCATCGCCATCGCCATCGTCATCAGCATCGCAATCGTAAGCATTCTCATCATCACCACCATCGCCGTCAGCACAAATAGGACCTTCAGCGGCAGTGCATCTGGACGTCTTCATCATTCTTTGGCATAAACGTGCTCTCAACAGCAGCAGCAGCATCATCATACTCATCGGCTTTGACATCACCAGAAGCATCCACGCAATCATAGCCATCACGATCAGAATCATCACCCTCACCGTCAGTACCATCCCCCTCATCATCGGCATCATCGTCACCAACATCAACAACATCATTATCAACATCCCCATCGCAAACCTCATCGTGGCCATTGTCAACATCCTCGCTCTCCTCATCCACCCCTCGTCGCACACAATATTGCGCTGGATGCAACGCATACCCGCGTTGAGCGGCGCGCCGCGGCACGAAGGGAGAGGGACACGGAAGAGGAGGCAAGAAGCTCGAGGGGGAGAGATGACGGGAGCGGACCAGCAATCACACCCCCGCACAATTGCTCTTGGACGCCTCCCCGGGAATAGTTGACAGCTAACCTTCTGTTGGAAGAGGTCCCCAGGAGACGGATCACGTAAGGCGAGTAGGAGGATGAGGAGGCAGGAGGCAGGAGGATGAACGAAACGACGAAAGAACGAATGAACGAACATCATTGGTAGCAAAACGGGTCCCTGGCAACGCAGAGTGGGATCGGCGCGACAGTCTCCGCCAAGTCAAGAGGAATCGGTGTAGACTGGAACCGATGCGGACTCTCACCACTGGGTCTCTGTCAGCGCAAGGTGGTCTCTGCCAAGGCTGCGCACCGCTCGCGCTCCGCCTCCTCACAAAGATTGTGGGGTCACTTGGGCCTGAGCCTCTCGCCCACGGTCCTGGGAGGAAGCAGGACGGCGGCGGCCGAATTGAGAAGATTTCAAACCTGTCTCAGTCGCTCCTTGGCGCTGGCTCGGTAGCTTCGTAATGCGTTCCACTAAACAGGCTCGTCCCAAACCCATCGGGCGATGGACCTTGGAAGCGCGACTTCCTCTAGATCCGCCGACGTGCTGCAGGGACTCACTTAGGTTTCCTCCAATGTTGCTGAATCCTCTGCATTGACATTCGTGCTGGTGCGTGTAAACATAGATATGTATGCAACTGTACACACATATACGCATATCTGTATACATATATATATAAGAAACTGTGATCGGGGGATACGGAGATCGGCACATAGGCAACGCGATCAATAGGGATCTCGCGAGATAAGACGGCATACAGGTAATTGGCATGCAAGCGTACATTGAGAATTCGATCGTAAGTCGTGCGGTAAACCAACATTCCCCAATCAGAGCTTGCCTCTGTAGGGTCTGAGCGGATTCATATGGATAGATGAAATTTGCCACTGGTTTCCGCGGCCCGCCGGGGTGCCTGGGTGCCCGGGTGCCCGAGTGCCCAGGTGCGTGGGTGCCCGGGTGCCCGGGTGCCTTACTGCCCTATAGCCCTATAGCCCAATAGCACTATAGCCCAATAGCCCTATAGACCCATAGCCCTATAGCCCTACAGCCGTATAGCCCAAATAGCCCTATAGCCCTATAGCCATATAGTCATATAGCCATATAGCCTCATAGCCCTATAGCACTATAGCCCTATAGCCCTAATGCTCTACATGCCTATAGCCCTATGGCCCTACAGCCTCAATAGCCCAAGAGCCCCATAGCTCCATAGCCATATAGTCCTACAGCCCTATGGCTTTAAAGCCCTGTAGCCCTAGAGACCTATGAACTCATAGCCCTATGGCCCTATAGCCCTATAGTTCCTTAGCCCTATCGCCTCATAGCCCAATCGCCCTATAGTCCCATAACGCTATAGCCCTAAAAAGACTTTGATTGGGGCTTTCCTCCGGTATCATGCCGTGATATATCGATGAATGCTGCTGGTGCGCTCGTTCGATTGCACGGCACCCTTCATAAGACGCAGCAGCTTGCAACACATCTTGCGTCCATGGGTAGGTAAGCTCTGAGCCACAGCTGAGCTCAAAGGAGCAGCAGCACCATATGGGATAGCTGAGGACTGCAAAAGGGGAGCGATATATGTTGTCCAAACGTCTCAGGAGACCGTCGGGGCTAAACTAGGCCCAACATGGCCACTGGTTTTCTGTCCTCTCCTGGCAAATGAGGAAGTGAGTGGGGACCAGCCGGTACAAATGTGAAATACTTTCCTGCTCGAATCGAAAAGTAGTTAACCCCTTCCGCGTTGCTCGGCGCCCTTCGTAAACAAAAAAAGCTTGCACCACAACTTCCGCGAATGGGTAAGTGACCTCTGTGCCGCAACTCAATCCAAAAGAACGGCTTGCGAACGGGATGCGATTGATGCTATCCTGGGGCCTCAAAAGGCCTCCAGAGGCCAAGCAGGCCCAAACTGGTAACAACAACATTGGCTTTTTGCTCTTCGCCGCTCTAGCCGATAAGGAAGTGAGATGGGACATCTTGGTACAAATTTGAAACCGGTTCCTGCTCGAAACGAAGGGTAGTTGTCCCCTTCCGCGTTGCACGGCGCTTTGGTAAACCGCAGTAGCTTGTCCCCCAGCTGCCGCCAATTGGTAGGTTGGATACGTGAAACAACTCAGTACAGAGGAACAGTCCCACCACGTGGGGTAGCTGAGGCTTGCGAATGAATTGCGGGCTATTGTCTCCGAGAGCGTCTCGAGACCTTCGGGGGCAAAGCAGGCCCAAAATGGCCACAAGTAAGTGTGACTGTTTTCCTTCGTCTTTATGGTCGACAAGGAAGTGAGTGGGGACCTGTCGGTGCAATATTGAAGGCATTTTCTCTTCGAAGCGGAAGGCGCGTGGCACGGCGCCCTTCGTAAGACACAATAGCTTGCACCACAGCTTCCGCGAATGGGTCGGTGAACTCTGTGCCACAACGGATTGCGAACGGGATACGATTTCCCCGAAAGCTTCAGGAAGCATTCGGAGGCAAAGCATGCCAAAACTGGCCACAAGAAAATGTAGTTGTATTCATTCGCGCTTCCCGCTGGTAAAGGTGACAACGGGGACCTGTCGGTACACATTCGGAACTATTTCCTGGAGGCGAACGGACTTTGACACCTTCCGCGTTGTACGGCGCCCTTCGTAAGACACAATAGCTTGCAGAACAGATCTGTGTAAATGTGCAACCCCACCATGTGGGGCAACTAACGCCTGGGAGCGGGGTGCAATGTATTGTTTCCGAAGGCCTCAAGAGGCGGATGGGGCAAAGCACGGCCAAAGTGACAACAACAAAATGTGGTTGTGTTCCTTCGCCCTTCTGACCGATGAGGAGGTGAAAGGGGACCTGCAGCACAAGTTTGAAGCAAATTCCTGTTCGAGGCGACAGGTTTTTGACCCCTTCCGCGTTGCACGGCGCCCGTGGTATGACAGAATAGCTCGCACCACATACTCCGGCACAGTACCTGCAACTGACTCCCATCACTGCTGCGGCAGCATATAACCACAATAGTTATCAATTGCTGCCGCTGCCTCCTAGCACTGCTATGCTATACTTACTTGCTACAGCCAAGCGGAAACGCATGTTCCTGTGTTTCGCTACCGCGGACCTCAACCATTTGCTTTGCTGCCGCTGGCTCCTGACACTGCCATGCTACACTTGATGAAGCCAAAACGAATACATTTGATAAAGCCGATACAATTTGCTACTGTCGGCTCTCAACGCGGATGCTTGCACGGCGCCTTGTGGGTGCCTGTGGGGTGCGTTTGCAAGGGCGCCTTCGCATGCTTGCTTATTCGGCCCATCGTCGGCCCATGTAGTCTGCCATCCTTGACCGTTTCGGCGTCCAAGGGCTTCGCAACCTCATCACGCATCGTCTCTACAAGTCTGACTGTGGCGGGCAGACAAATCACCAGCACGGCACAGCAACCCGGCACCCAGCACCACCAAACGTGCACCCTGCATCTGGCACCACCAAGCGTGCACCCAGCACCTGGCACCACACAGCATGCACCTGGCACCTGGCACCACCAAACGTGCACCTGGCACCTGGCACCACTAAGCGTGGTCCGCCCACGATCCTTTCACAGAAACGCGATGCCGTGCGCAGCTGCTGATCTGAACGCCGCCTTCTCAAGCCTGCAATCTTCACGGTCATATGCAACAAATCGTTTTACGATGCAAGTCTGACTGAAGGGGCCGAACGGTCATTCCCTGTCCCTGGGTGCGTGGCTGAAGTGCGCTTCCGCGTTGCGGATTGTTGTTGCTGTTAACTCTCAGTTGTGAAAAAGTAAGTATTGTTGATCCCCCCTCCAGGGCACATTGTGTTTTTGGATTCTGGGGCTCGCACCCTGTTTTTGAACTAGAGGAGATCGAAAGGTCACCAAACTGGGCCCCTGGCCGACGAGTGCAACGGCTCCCGCCTAATACTTCCTCGCAGTGGATTCCAAAATCGAACTCCCACGCAGGACTTCCACACAATTCACACAGGAATCGCGCTCTCGCGTGGGACTTCCTCGCAGTTGATTCAGGCGCCGCGCCCTCGACAGGAATCGCGCTCTCGCTTAGGCCTTTCTCAGGATTTACTTCGGAATCGCGCTATCGCTCGACCTCTCCTCGCGATTCATGCGATATTCATGCTTCAGCAACACGCCTGCTCCACCTGGCCGCTTGGGCCCGCCGTCCCGACCCACCTGTGAGGCTCTACCCGCCCGATGGGCTCGTCTGGTTAAGCCACGTGCTTTCTGTTTCTAGGCCCCCCTCCTGCTAATCCCGTGCTCCATCCTTCTCCTTCCCCTTTCCATCCGTCCTCTCTTCACCTGTTTCAGGGGTTGCACCAAATACACACACGCGGCATGTAAGGCAGACGTACCCTCAAGGAAGTACGATCGACAACGAAAAAAGCGGGTACTGGGGGTTTCGGATATACCGGTTGAATGACACGCGAACAGAGAAGAACGAATAATGATTGATGTTATTGCTGTTGATGTTGTTATTGTTGTTAAGCTCTCACTACTGAAAAAAACTGTTGTTGATCCCTCCGGGCTCGCACCCTGCTTTCTACAAAGGGAAAGCTTGGGTCTTGGTCTCAGAAGTTTGTTGTTGGCTCCCGCTATACTACAACAGCAACAACAACAACGGCTCCCGCCTGATACTTCTTCGCAATGTATTCCCAAGCAGCGCTTTCGCGCCAGACTTCCTCGCAATTCATGCAGCAATCGCGCTCTCGCGTGGGACCTTCTCGCATTTATTCAGACGCCACACCCTCGACTCTCATGAATCACGCTCTCGCTGTGGATTTCCTCAAGATTTCTGTGGGAATCGCGCTATCGCTCGAGACATGCAATATTCACGCTTCAGCAACTCGCCTGCACGACCCGGCGGCCTGGGCCCGCCTTCCCGACCCGCCCGTAAGGGGTCTATCCGCCCGATCTGCCCATCTGGTTCTGCCACGTGCTTTCTGCTCCTCGCCCCCTTGTCTACTCTCTCTTTCTCTCTCGTGCTCCCTCCTCCTCTTTCACACTTGTCCTTCCCTTCCATCCCTCCTCTCTTCCCCTGCCTCAGGCTGCACGAAATCTACGTTGCAGTTGGAGAAGATATGCCCCCAAGAAGGTACGATCGAAGGCGAAGAGGGCGGGTATCGAGGGTTTGGGATATACGTGCTGAATGACACGCGCACAAATAAGAACGATCAACATTAAACTGACGTTAGTTGTTGTTGCTGGTGTTGTTGATGTTGTTGTTGTTGCTGTTGCTGTTGTTGCTTGTGTTACTGATGATGTTAGTTGAATGCTCGCTTCTGAAGAAGAATTATTGCAAGTATCCGGAAACGGTTCCGCGCGCTCTCGCCTCGACGCCGGCTACATGTTCTATGAAAGCGAAGCTCCCGCTGGAGCGTTGGCTTGAGCCTAAATGTGGGCCCTTGGAGGCCCAGCTACGACAACTACGGCTCCCGCTCGCTACTTCCTTACAATTTACACCGAGACACCCTGGGCAGAGAGGCCCCCCGAACTCAGGAACGGCACTCTCGCTCGAGACTTCCTCTCAATTCAATTAAGCTGGCGGAGGCCCAGCCACGACGAAAAGAGATCCTCCTTGATATTTCCTCACGATTTACTCCGAGAGCCCCTGGCCAAGAACGCCCCCGAACTCAGGAACAGCGCTCTCGCTCGAGACTTTCCCGTACTTCAGATGAGTTGGTGGAGGCCCGGGCACGGCGACAAGGGCTCCCGTTCGACTCCATAGGTATTCCGGGAGCCCCAGGCTAGAGAGGACCCCGAACTCAGGAACGGCGCTCTCGCTCGAGACTTCTCCCCTAAAGGGGGTGCAATCGAAGACGAAGTGGGCGGGTATCGAGGGTTGGGGTATACGGAATGCATGACACACGTGCCAGTAAGAGTGAGCAGTCCTGAAAATAATTGCTGTTGTCGTTGGTTGTTGATTGTTGGTTGATGGTTGTTGGTCAGTTGTTGTTTGTTGATTGTTGTTTGTTGTCGTCGCCCCGCCCGCGACCCACCCGCGACCCACCCGCAACCCTCCCGCGACCCAGCCGCAACCCATCCGCGGCCCAGCCCGCGACCCGCCTAAGGTTCTGGTGGTTCTGGGTTCTTTTTCGAACTCCCCCTTGGGCTTCGGCCCAGCGCGCCGGCCACCGGGAAGGCCGCACCATCCTCCGAAAAATACAACTCCGTGGGCCCAATCGCCTCCAAGACGGTCAGGATGGCCTCCTAGATGCCTCTAAGACGCCTTCAAGACTGCCAAGGTGGCCTCAAGAGAGCCCAAGATGGCCCCAAGATGCACACAAGACGGCCAAAGCTACACCTTAGACGGTCCAAGATGCCCCAAGAGGCCCCCAAAGAGGCCTCCAAGACGGCCCAAGAGGCCTCCAAGGGGCCTCCAAGACGGCCCAACACGCCTCCAAGAGGTTACCCAGGAAGGCCCGAAAAGGCCAACATCATTGATTCCCCTGAGGTCTTTTAAAGGATGTTCGCATTTGCTTCAAAACGGCCTTCCGACGGGCCAAGACGGCCCAAGATGCCCCCAATATTCTCCCAAGATCACACCGGAGGCTTCAAGGAGGGCCCCAGGACGGCCCAAGAGGGCCCCAAGACGACCCTCAAAGGGCTCCAAGACGGCCCAAGAGGCCTCCAAAACGCCCAAGATAGCCTCCTAGAGGGCTCTTAAGCGCCCCAAGAGGGCCCCAAGACGGCCCAGAGAGGCCCCCAAGGCGGCATCCGACGGCGTCAGACAGGCCAGGAATACCGTAAGACGGCCAAAAAGGCCCCCAAGACAAGAAGCCCCCAAAGCTCCTCCAAGAGGCCGCCAGGAGGCTGCCAGGAGGCCCCAGGAATGACGCAAGAGGCTTCAAAGAGATCTCCTTCATCTTCTGCTCCTGCTCCTGCTCCTCCTCCTCCTCCTCCTTTTTCCTCCCTCTCCTCATCCTCCTCTTCCTCGCCCACGCGTCCCACGAACAGGTTTCCACAGCAGCTCGGGGACGACCTTGTCCGATAGTTTTCCCAAGCTCTGGACCCAAACGTTTGGCCACAGAGGCGCCTTTCAAAAAGGAAGGGGGCGGCGATGATTCGCCGTGTGCGTCTTCGACAATTTCCACGACCGTCGCTAGCTGTGACTCCTTCTGTGATCCGGCGGAATGGCACGAGCCAATTCGGTTCGCCGGCCCGACGGGCCAGAGGCGTGCTCAAACCTCCAATAACTAATGACAAATATTCTAGCTCGCGCGCGCGCGTGGCGGCCCCTGGGGGTCCTGAAGCGAAACATATCCACGGCAACTCCCGGCAAATCCCCGCCAAAGATGCCGGATCTCTTGTGCGCAGGCCTGGGGGGGAACCGTCTAGGAGGCCCAATGAGTCGACAAATAGGTGGAAGGCCCTACGGCCAGAAGCCAACAGCGTCCCAAGGCGGCCCAAGATGGCCTCACGATGGCCCTCGATGCCCCCAAAACGCCCCTCGAGGCTTCTAAGAGGCGTCGCATGAGGCAAAAATCATTGATTTCCTTTGGAGTTGGAGGTTTTCAGCCTTCTCGCCTTTTCGGCTATCCGACGCTCTACGAGCGCGCAAGAAGCCTCCAAGACAGCCCCAAGACGGCTCAAGACGGCCCAAGAAGGCCAGACGGCCCAAGATGCGCACAAGAAGGCCCACGAAGGCCCCGCGACGAGATCAAGTGGGGCCCACGAGGAGCCCGAGACACCTCACAGATCGCCCCAAGCCGCCCAAGATGGCCCCAAGACTGCACAAGAGGCCTCCATGACGGCCCAAGAAGCTTCCAAGAGGTCTCCCAAGAGGGCCCTGGGAGATAACAAATATTGGCTTCTCTAGGTTTTTGACAGTTTTTGGCGTCTCACCTTTTCGGTCTTCCGACGTTCGGAGAGAGCCACAAAGGCCTCCAAGACCGCCTCAAGACCACCCCAGAAGCCCCTCAGAGGTCCCCAAAAGGGCCCCCAAACGGCGCACCAGGGCCCTAAGACGGCCCCAGAGGCGCCCCAGAGAGCCCCAGAACGCCCCACGACGGGCCCAAAGGGGTCCACGAGGGAAACCACAAACAGGCAACTCGAGCTTTCCACCCCAAGAGGGGCCCAGGAGGCCCAAGAGCGCCCCAAGAGGCCCCAACAGCCCCCAAAGAGACCCCACTGAAGCCTCCAAGAGGCCTCAAGAGGCCACGCACGCGCAGGAAAACGCCTGCGATGGCACAGTACGGGCCGGAGGAATGAGCGAAGTGATTAAATACACGAGGCCCCAAAAAAGTTAGGAGAGAAGGCGGGAAAATGGTAGGAGGAGAGATGAGACGAGACATCAGACTGCGCCGACGCCGTGCAATGCCTTTACGGAGCATTCTCATGACCGTCGTCCTCAGTAGCACCGATGACCCCCTCATCATCATCGTCGGCGGCGTCAGTCGCGCCAGTGGCGCCAGTGGGGCTCATGCCGTCAGCGGCGGGGAGGCCAGGGCCAGACAACAGTGGCGGAGGTTCGGGTGTAGTCGTGCTCCGCATCATGCTGAAGTGCTCCATAACCTTGGGCTCCATGTGCACCCCATGCTCCATGTTTCTGCGGCCCTTGATGGCAGGCCCGATGGGCCTCCGCAACGTAAGATTGAGAGGCAGTCCTTTCCAGGCGGCCACCCTGAGCGCCTCGAAGACGGCTATGTAGAAGTCCTGCGCCGTCTTGTGCTGCTGACAGAAGGCGCCGTTCACTCCGACGATCAAGTCGCCAACCGCAATTCCCTCGGGGTGCTCGGTGTTGTACTTTTCCACCAGGCGCGGCACGCGGCGCTGATCATCCGAACTAGGACGGATCCGATTGATGATGGTTGCCGACGGACAGGAGTAAGAGCCATTATCGGGCCGGGCGAAAAGGGGGATAACAAAGGGGGGGGGTGAGAATCAGCTCATCTAGCTGATTTTCCCGGCGCCTCCTGGCGCCGGAGGCGGCCATGTATCGAGGAATGGGCCCCTCGGTGGGGCTGAAACCAGCTGCATGCAGCAGCTTTCGTAACCACCCCTTTCCCTATCCCCCCCTTTCGTTCGGCCCGACATTAGAGGGTGCGATCTCCCAACCCATCAGGTAAAGGGGACTCGCGGCCTGAGGGAAGCTGATCTGAACGGACCGCTGCTCCTCCTGGAAGATCTCTCCTAGTGGGTGCGTCTCGTCGAAGGCCTCCTGGATCCATCTCGGCCTCTGGACTCGGACGAGCGCCGACCTGTGGGTCCTGTTGTCTACGGTGGCGGACCTGTAGTGCTTCCGAAGGACAGTCATCCATCTCGTGGCGTTGTGGTGGAAGATGACATTGTCAAACTGCAAGACCTCGTCTCCTTCCAAGATCAACTGGTCTGGGTGCTTGTTGTTCCACTCCGCCACTGGGCCGAATTCTTCGATCTTTTTGATGACGACCGGCTTCCAGTCCTGGGCCCCTTCCTTTCCATGCTGGAGGCCAAGGGCCCAGCCCATGATCTTGTCCAGGGAGCTGTCAAGCTTATCGGGCATGAGCAGCTGGGCGACGAATTCAGTAGAGTACTCTTTGTTGTGAGCGTCTTCCCGCTGCATAGCAAAGCGGTTGTGATGCCAAACCCTCGGCCTCTGGATGTAGAGCCTGAAGATTTCATCCGCCCCCTCTAGCCCCTTGCGCCCGGCTTTGAACTGGCCAGCGATGCGTTTAATGAACGTCTCCGTGTTTGCGTGCCACTGGATGTTGTTGACGCGAACGACCTCGTCGCCCACGTGCACTTCCTTGTCGGGGTTGTTCTTGTTCCACTCCTCGATGAGGCCGGTCTTGTGGATCGTCGCCACCTTCGCGGGCTGGAAATCGACGTCGCGGTCGACCGCAATTCCCATCAGCTTCCCTGTCTCGCGCGCCTCGGTCACGTTCAGCTCCACGACGAAATCCTTCTCGTACTTCTCAAGGTGGGCGATCTTGCGCTGTTCTGGAGACAAGGTGGTCCCCACCTGGCCGCCCTCCTCGCTCTCCATCGATGCCTGCAGCATGCTGGCGCGGTTCTGCATCTTGGACTCCTCGGTCAGAACCATAGCGTCGAGGTCCACGACGGCGCCCCTCGAGGCCAGCGACCTCGCCTGGATGGCGCGGGGGCGCGCCGCGAGCTCCCCCACCAGCAGCGCGGAGAGCACGAAACGCCGCATGGCTCCGCGAAATGTAGATAACAAATACGTGTGTGTGTGACTATGTCCTATGTCAGGGAATGCCGCCTGCTCCTTGAAGGAGGAAGCGCTTGAGCCAGCATGGCGACGGACCATCTTGGGGCGATCTTGGGCGCCTTTTGAGCTGTCCTGGACGCCCTGAAGACCCAAGAAGCGAGTATGCGAAAATCGATCATATACGGATCGGGAATCAATGTGTTTTACATATCGGGCCCTCTTGGGGGTACTCCTGGAGCCTTGCTGGGGCGTCCTGGGTCGTCTTGGAGGCGTCAGGGGGTTATCTTGATACCAGCGTGGTCACGTGTTGGCAATGTTTGCGGTATCTTGATTCCGTTCGGATGGTGGAGTTGTATTTCCAACGCATTTCGAAGCCGAGTAATTCCTCGCAGGGTTTGGAAACGAGGTGCCAGACCCCTGGGCGAAAGAGTGGCCACAGCGGGTGAAGGGGGGGGGCGTGCTGGCTGGAATTCTTGAATAAAAGTGTGCTGCACCAGGGCCCCGGCACCCAGGCGGAACTGGATGGCTTTCATTTGTTTTTGCCACGTTGCGTGCCCGTTCCGCCTCGTGGGCGCCACGTGGGTGCGCTGGTTGCGCCATTTTGACGCCGGTGCCGCCTCGTGGGTCTCCCGAGCTTGCGCCACGTTACCGCCCGTGCCCTCGTGGGCGCCCCGTGCGCAATCGTGGACACACATTCTCAGTAGCGTCCCTCCGCCAATTCCGGAACATCCATCACACGGATCGAGCCCTCGATGGACTCAACCTGCGGCCACCCGCGCATCTCGACACACCCCTCACAGGGATGTTGAAGCTGTTGCCCCACAGGGAGCTCCATCTACGGCCCCAGAGACAAGATTCGCACAGCGGCACACACCTCGCGCGGATCGTGCTGCCCCGCCGGTAATTGCACTTACGGCACGAGATGGAAGCGTCGCATAGCGTCGCCCCGCTCACTTCGGCACACCTCTAACACGGATCGTGCCCCGCAGAGAATTCCACCTACGGCCCCAGAGACACGGTTCGCATCCCGCCCGACACACCTCTAACCAGGATCGTGCACCACAAGGAGCACCTCCTGAAGCCCCAGATACAATGTTCGCACGTCCTCCCCCCGCACATTTCGGCACACCCTTCACGTGAATCGTGTCTTGGATGGAGCTCCACCTACGGCGCCAATAGGTAACTTCGCACTGCGCCCCCCCCCGCCCATTTCGGCATATGCCTCACACGGGCCGTGCCCCGCAGGGAGATCCACCTGCGGCCTCGGTGGGCGTGATCGCACGGGGGCGCCCCGATGATTCGGCAACTTCTTCACACGTATCGTGCCCCACACGGGGTTCAGCGCGCCTGTGCGCACTGGCTCCGAAGTAGCTCGCTATCCGTACTGTCCCGCGGCGCGCAGTATATGAAAAGATGGCCACGCCCTGCGCTACACATGATTGCAACGGTGTGGGCCCGTCGCCAGGCTAAGTGGTTGCTTAGCTACTGGCTTGCGGCCCATCCCGAAACCGTGGCTGGTTTGGGGTCTTTGGGACACCTGTTGGAGTCTCTTGGCATACTTCTCGTGCGCCTCTTGGAACCAATTCCGAAATCTCTTGGGGTTTCTTGGGGGCCGCTTGGGAGCCTCTGGCGGTTTGGGGGGAACGCTGTGGGGGTCCACTTCGGGCGAAGGGCTCGACATGTCAGTCGGAGCTCCCCCTCTTGAGCCCCCACTTGGGCCGTCTTGGCACATCTTGGAACGTCTTGGGGCTCTCTTGGGCCGTCTTGGGGTCCTCTTGGGCCGTCTTGGGGCGATTTGGGGGGGCCTCTTAAGCCTTCTTGGGCGCTGTTCAGATCCAAGATGCGCCTATTTCAAAACATTTGCGCTTTTCATCGAGAATGGGGCGATCTAATCCCCCTGGGGCCCTCTTGGGACGGTTTTTGGAACCATTTGTCCCGTCTTCGGGGCGACTTGGGCCCTCATGGAGATGTTCTCTCCGCCCTTGGGCCCTGTTGCGCCGCTCTTGTTGCGTAGTCGCGCCCCCCGGAATTACTCCGGGCGGTCTGGGGAGGCCCGGGAGGCCGCAGAGGGGGGGTGCCAAAAAGGGGGGTACGGGAGGATTTGCCGGCCATGGGCCCGTGCCCCCCTTTACCCCAGCACACTCTAAATCTAAACAGGTGGAGGCGCGCGCTGCAGGCTTCCGGCTGGGCCCGCCAGCACCATTGGGAAGCATCCGTTTCCGGGGTAGGGTCGAAAGCTCCAGGCAAGCACCGGGCGGACGCCTGGAAACGCCAGCCAGTACGGGCGGGCGTCGGACGATCATCCAGACGTGTCAGCGAATCGAATAGAATACATAAAACCTGGTGCAGGCACTGTTTGGGGGACGAAAGCAGCATAACCATAAACTCCGGGAAGTCCGCGCGCAGTTCTTGAGTCGGCGCTGGAGGCGCCGCTAGGAGTGGCAGGGAGGGGACCCCATAGCCACGTCAAGAGCTCCGCGCGGAAGTACGAACATTCTCTTTTTACCTGACAGCGAAGACTGATAGGTTTCTAGTTGGGTCAAAAGAGCATCATGACGCCCCAGGGGGGTCTGAGCGCGATCCGGGGGAGGGTGCCGGGGATTTTTTTGGCTAACAATTACACACTTCGTGGTCTTCGAGGTCCCAGAACTCCATTCCCGGGCCACATTCTGAATGCCCGGAGCCAACTGTAGGCCACTTCGTGGTCTTCGAGTTTCCAGAACTCCACTCCCAAGCCACCTTTTGAATGCTGAGGCAGGCTGATGCTGAGGCTGAGGCATGCTGAGGCTGAGGCAGGCTAAGGCTGAGGCCGAGGGTGAAGGCTGATGCAGGCTGAGGCTGAAGCAGGCTGAGGCTGAGGCTGAGGCAGGCTGAGGCTGAGGCTGAGGCAGGCTGATGCTGAGGCAGGCTGAGGCTGAGGCTGAGGCTGATGCAGGCTGAGTCTGAGGCACGCTGAAGACAAGGCCGAGGCTGAAGGCAGACTGATGCTGAGGCTGAAGCAGGCTGAGGCTGAGGCTGAGGCAGGCTGAGGCTGAGGCTGAGGCAGGCTGATGCTGAGGCAGGCTGAGGCTGAGGCTGAGGCTGATGGCTGAGGCTGAGGCTGAGGCAGGCTGAGGCTGAGGCCGAGGCTGAAGGCAGACTGAGGCTGAGGCTGAAGCAGGCTGAGGCTGAGGCTGAGGCAGGCTGAGGCTGAGGCTGAGGCAGGCTGATGCTGAGGCAGGCTGAGGCTGAGGCTGAGGCTGTTGCAGGCTGAGGCTGAGGCAGGCTGAGGCTGAGGCCGAGGCTGAAGGCAGATTGAGGCTGAGGCTGAAGCAGGCTGAGGCTGAGGCTGAGGCAGGCTGAGGCTGAGGCTGAGGCAGGCTGATGGCTGAGGCTGAGGCTGAGGAGGCTGAGGCTGAGGCTGAGGCTGATGAGGCTGAGGCTGAGGCTGAGGCAGGCTGAGGCTGAGGCTGAGGCTGAGGCAGGCTGAGGCTGAGGCTGAGGCTGAGGCTGAGGCTGAGGCTGAGGCTGAGGCTGAGGCTGAGGCTGCTGAGGCTGAGGCTGAGGCTGAGGCTGAGGCTGAGGCTGAGGCAGGCTGAGGCTGAGGCAGGCTGAGGCTGAGGCTGAGGCTGATGCAGGCTGAGGCTGAGGCAGGCTGAGGCTGAGGCCGAGGCTGAAGGCAGACTGAGGCTGAGGCTGAAGCAGGCTGAGGCTGAGGCTGAGGCAGGCTGAGGCTGAGGCTGAGGCTGAGGCTGAGGCTGAGGCAGGCTGAGGCTGAGGCTGAGGCAGGCTGATGAGGCTGAGGCAGGCTGAGGCTGAGGCTGAGGCTGAGGCTGCAGGCTGAGGCTGAGGCAGGCTGAGGCTGAGGCCGAGGCTGAAGGCAGACTGAGGCTGAGGCTGAAGCAGGCTGAGGCTGAGGCTGAGGCAGGCTGAGGCTGAGGCTGAGGCAGGCTGATGCTGAGGCAGGCTGAGGCTGAGGCTGAGGCTGATGCAGGCTGAGGCTGAGGCAGGCTGAGGCTGAGGCCGAGGCTGAAGGCAGACTGAGGCTGAGGCTGAAGCAGGCTGAGGCTGAGGCTGAGGCTGAGGCTGAGGCTGAGGCTGAGGCTGAGGCTGATGGGCTGAGGCTGAGGCTGAGGCAGGCTGAGGCTGAGGCTCAGGCAGGCTGAGGCTCAGGCTGTGACTGCGACTGCCGTTGCCACTGCGACTGCCATCGCGAATGCGACTACGACTGCGAGAACAGCAGAATTCTACAACAGGATTCTCATCTGAATCTTAAGGGGAATGCTTCCAGATGTGCTCCTACACATCGCTGTTAGGTTGCTTTGCCGGGATAATTGAAATTAGCCGTCGCTCTTAAGGAGCCGCCAGTGCCCCCTCTGGGGGGCCATATTGGACAGTTTCTCGAATCCTGTCCAGCATTGGCGACGTGAACCTCCAGAAATCCCCAAGAACCTTTCTAAACGAAAAATCTCGATCATTCAGCGCCAGCCTCCAGCCTCGACCCTCGAACCACGAGCCTGCCGTGCCAACGGACGGGTGCGCGATTTCTCCGCATCTGCGCTCTCTTGGCTTCGCATGCTCATCTCAACACGATCCCGCTTCTGTATGTTCATGTCACGCACCGTCTGGCACCGCGTGATCGGCGCCGTTTCCTGGTCAGAGGAAGAGATCTCTGCATGCGCATGAACTTTCGGAGGTCCTTGGCACGGCGCCCAAACATGTAAACCACCACCACCTTCCTCACCCCCATCCCTCCCCCCGGCAAAAGGAAAGAGGAGGTTGGAGGGCGGAGGGGGCAATGGAGGTGGTAGTGGTGTACATCATTGGGACCCGCGCTGGGCTCCTTGGATCAGCGCCGGATTTCTTGGGTCGGTGCACCTCTTACATCGGTGCTGGCAGCTGGACTACCCGCCCTGGCGCGCCGAGCGCGCCACGGGCGCTTCTGGAGGCGCCGCCAGAGGGGGGGGGCCCAACGCAGATCCGAGAAATCCGTGCGGACCCCGAAAGACTTTATTCACCAATCTCTTTCCCCAGACTGACTACCTACCAGACCACCCCAACCCAACTGCAACACCAAAATTTCGGGTTTGGGGGGGGCGCGTGTTCCACATGTATTTGGTTCAATGCTCCCCGACGCCCCCCCTCCTGGAAATGGAAGGCAGATCCGGGCTTTCGGGACGGGCTGGGGTGGCTTGGTGGGTGGTGGTCGACTGGCTCAAGCGCGCCATCCTGGAACGTGGCTTCAGCGCGGGCTCGCGCGCGATCTCGTCGCCTCGCCTGAAGCCTCGCGTGGCGGGCGCGTACCTGCTCCCGTTGTAGCGCGCGGACCCCATCGACGCACGCCATGTTATTCGCGCGCGCAATACACATGGACAAATCGGAGCAGATAGGAGCCCGTATTCACAAGACCATAACAGAGCATCTACAAAAACGCGCAAGCACTCATGGAAACACGCAAAAATCGATTGAGAACCTCTTGGGGCCATAGTGGGCCGTGTGGGTCCCCTCCTGGGACATCGCCACTTGGACGCCTATCTGTGCTCGAGGGCACAATGTGTGAAATCCGCCCAATGCGGGGGCACGAGATCTCCCCGACATTCGCCCCCGACCTATTCGTAGACACCGGCTGCGGCCGGTCGCGGCGGAGCGCTCCTCGGACGCGGCCCAAGGCATCTCGGCCCGCTCGCCGCGGCGCCCGCCAGGCGCGCGTCCTGGGCGGCTGCGCTGCCAGCAGCCGACGGCTAGCCGGGGTCGCAGGCCGCCTCCACTGGGGGAGCGCTCGCCGAGCCCGCGCCGGCAGCTGGCGCGGTGGCTGGCTGCGTTGCTCCGCCGCCGCCGCGGGCCCCCTCGAGCACTCGCCGTCGGAGCGCCGTGCGCAGCCGGCACGGTCGCCAGCTGCTGGCCGCAAGCCGCCGCTAGCCGCAGTCCGCCCTCGCTGCCCGGGAGGTCGTCGTCTCCGGCATGGACTTTCGGCATCGGCGTTGGAGCGCGCCCTCAGGCGCCGTCCAGCGCGTCGTATGAGCCCTCTCAAAGACGTGCTCGCTAGCGCGGGGGTGGTGCTCGTCCGTGCCCAAGTGCCACCTGTCCCGCACGTCCGGCGCGCCTGGCCGGGCCCCGAGCCCGCCTCCTGGCGGGGCGCTGGCGGTCCTGCTCGCGCTAAGGCGCGCCCAGTTCTGGCCCCGATGTCCTCCACCCCCCGCTCCTCCTCCTCTTCCTCCTCCTCCGCTTCCTCCTCCTCCTCCTCCTCCTCCTCCTCCTCCTCCTCCACCTCCTC